TGACAGCAAAGTGCTCGGTTAGGAACATATGGAACAATCAGATCACTGATGTATGATGGACCTTGATTATTAAGAGCTTTATATGTGAGAAGGAGGATCTTAAAATCTACTCTGAATTTAACAGGTAGCCAATGTAGGGAAGCTAAGACAGGAGAGATATGATCTCTCTTTTTAATTCTCATCAGAACTCTAGCTGCAGCATGCTGGACAAGCTGAAGACTTTCAACTACATTCTGTGGACTTCCTGAGAGTAATGAATTACAGTAATCCAGTCTTGATGTAATAAATGCATGAACTAGTTTTTCAGCATCACTCCTGGAAAGTATGCTTCTAATCTTAGCAATATTCCGAAGGTGGAAAACGGAAATCCTACAAACTTGTGAAACCTGGGATTTGAATGACATGTCCTGGTCAAAGATAACACCAAGGTTCCTTACTTTGTTCTCGGAGATTAATGCAATGCCTTTCAGGTCAGGTGATTGACTAAGCAATCTCCTTTTCTGGATTTCTGGTCCAAAGATGAGAACTTCCGTCTTGTCTTGATTTAAAAGCAAAAAGTTTAGAGTCATCCAATGTTTTATGTCCTCAAGACAAGCCTGTAATCTACCCAACCGATTAGGTTCATCAGGGTTAATGGATAAATATAACTGAGTATCGTCAGCATAACAGTGGAAGTTTATCCCATGCTGTCCAATGATTTTACCAATTGGGAGCATATATAAAGTAAAAAGAATTGGTCCAAGCACTGAACCCTGTGGTACTCCGCAAGTAACCCTGGAGTATGGAGAAGATTTGTCATGTACATTTACAAAATGAAATATGTCAGACAGGTAGGATTTAAACCAGCCTAACGCTGTTCCTTTGATCCCTACAACATGTTCAAGTCTTTCTACAAGAACATTGTGATCAACTGTGTCAAAGGCAGCACTGAGATCTAACAAGACTAGAACAGACACAAGATTCTTATCTGAGAACATGAGAATATCATTTGTTACTCTCACTAATGCGGTTTCAGTGCTGTGGGCTATGGGCCATCTAATGATAAAGACAAGATGGTAGCTTATCAATCAACTTTAATTAACTTGTAACATGTTGATACAAATGCTACGACCACATGGAGGTAGGCACCTGAAACCACACGACTTGTGTTCACCAGAGGCACGGTGGTGAGGTTGAAGCGCTTCATCTTCCAATCATAACTCAGGAGATAGCAGGACACACCGAGGTACGCCCCTGCAGCACGGCTGGTCCACACGTCAGGGACCATCGACCGCTCTGAGGGTCTGCTTTAGCGTAAAGATAAAAGATATTAAAGTTAAGTTTATTTACCAGATTAATAATTCTGTTAAATCACATAAAGTAGGTTAAGATTTAACACAAAATGCTTAAAAAATATTAGTTTCTTGATTGTTCGGTCAGCAACCTTTTTTTTTATCATAAATGCGTTTTACTCTACTGTTTATTTTATTTGTATCCGGACACACACACACACACACACACACACACACACACACACACACACACACACACACACACACACACACACACACACACACACGCCTTAAAAGTTGTGTAACTTCTTTTCCATCACGGTGGCTAAGTGGGACCAGCCTGGTAGGCGGTGGTTGTCATATAGATGTCTGTAAGCTCCACTGTACCGTAGCGGGATGAGGTAAATCATTAGCGTTAGTAATCAGAGCAAAAATATGTGACATACAAACGTGTTCTAAAGGTAACAACGTCACCGTCTCTGCTGGTGTTGCTGCAGCTATAAATACAAGTAACTCTGTTGATGTTAGCAGCTAACAAGAGGTAAACTTACTGAGGCGACTCTGCTCTTCGATGCTCGTGCATCGCCGATGTGCTCCTGTGAAAGGAGAGTTTCGCTTTGCAGAGTTCGCACTACGTGGCTTTCTTTTGAATTAGTATAATGTAGGGCTGAAACGATTCCTCGAGTACCTCGAATAATTCGAGTACAAAAAATCCTCGAGTCAAATTCTCTGCCTCGAGGATTCGTTTAATTCATATTTAATTAATTCATGGCTTTGCAATCGCCCGGGGTCATGTTTCACACGGACCGAAATAAGTGACGCACATGCCCACTGGGCTGAATGCACACACGAGTAGCGAATGTAACTTAACTTTCTCTTAAGCCATGGCGGACAACGTGGACCCCGGTGGTTCTAAAAAGACAGAAAATGTCAAAGGTGTGGGACGATTTTTCACGCTGTAAGGTGGAAAACGTAGTCCAGTATAAATACTGTAAAATGGATTTAGCCTACCACAACACCACATCCTCCATGCTGCAGCACCTGTAAATGTCACTTCTGCAAGCGGACTCGGAGCCTCTACAAGATAAAACATTTAGCCTGTTTTTCTATATATTCTGCAGACACTGCGACTTTTTCGTTTGTAGCACTCAGTTCCAGCTCACACCGTACGTCTGCTAGCAACACGTCGGACTTAAAATGTGCCAAAAAAATAGCAGTTTTTACACAACACGTCGGACTTTTTATTGTGTTGTTATTGACGTCTGTTGTCCCTCGGGGTTTCTGCAGGAGGACACGGGTCTTTATGAGTGGCGGAGGAAAACGAAAGAAAGTAAATAAATGTTTTGTGATCAGTATAATTTGACAAAACCACAGCAAACATGCTTTTGGCAATCCTTGTTAGTGTGAGAAAAAAAGAGTAGAAATTAAAACGGACGTGTGTTAATAGGGAAACAGCCGGCGAGCCGTTTGCGCATGCGCCGTGAGCGGTTCTGGTTCTGTTTGGGCCACAGCCGCTCGCAGCGCTACTTCAACAGTTATCCTCCTAGTTTTTGTCTGGCTTGCAGGCTAGCAGATTCTCACACGAGGGGAAAATCGGCTCAGGCTGTATACTTATTTTTTGCACAGACATTTGTTTACTGTGAAGTAAAGTTGAAGTGCTGAAGTTTTGCAAACTAATTTTGAATAAAACTTGAAGAATAACTGGCAATTGCTCATTTTAAGAGGTCTTTCATGTTTTATAACATGCTATTTGATATAATGGTTTACAAACACAAAAGGGTCATTTATTAGAGTACTCGATTAATCGAAAAAAAGATTTGAGTACTCGATTACAAAAATATTCGATAGCTGCAGCCCAAGTAAAATGCTCCCAAACTTTTCAGAAATGTTGGGACTCGACACTTTCTCCGATGATGAAGGCTGAGCTGGATGGCCACCACTGCGCATGCGCCTCGGAGCTAAAGCGGCGGCTGAGCAGAGGCCGGAAGAAAAAGCAGAACGTGCCGCAGCAGGCGAGATAAAAAACTGTTTATAAAATAAGGTCTATTTTATTTGTCGGCGTTGTCGTGATGAGTCATCTAATCATGGCAGCCCTAGACATCTTGCTGCGGCTGCCTCTCGCTCTCTTTTGGTTTGAGAGGGGAGGGCCTGGTGACGTAGCGTGCCGAGTCTGTGGTTTTGATTGGTTAGGAGTAAGCTCACATTGTTCACATGCAGCCTACTCGGGTTGTGATTGGTTTAAGGTCAGGATTCTGGTTTCTGAAATGTTTGGAATAACCCGTTCACACACAGTGTTTAAAAGTGTGTGTGCTGAGATGTCTCTGAGGTGAAAAAGATGATTAGTATTAAAGTACTCTGGGGGGGGGGGGGGGTCATGCCCCCCCCGGTAAAACATTATTGGACATTTTATATTTAAACGCATCAGTCTGGTGCATTTTTGGGGGGGAAGTAGAGTTACAGGCTGGTACATGTATGATAAAGTATCTATACATGCTCATTGTTCGGGCTGCATGGTGGCGCAGTGGTTGGCACTGTTGCCTCGCAGCACGAAGGTTGCAGGTTCAAAACTCGGCTGCGGCCTTTCTGCGTGGAGTTGCGTGTTCTCCCCATGCATGCGTGGGTTTCCTCCGGGTACTCCGGTTTCCCCCACAGATCACAACAAGCCCTATAGGTTATAAACTGTAAGTGGCTTTGGATAAAAGCGTCTGCTAAATAAATAAACATAAACATGATAATGATATATCTGAGTTAACAACGTTTTCCTGTCCTTTCTTAATCCATTATGAACACAGACTAGAGTGAAATCCGCTGATGCGTCCATGCTGCTCAGCACCAGAACTGCACTAGTTACCAAAAGAACCAATCAGCTGGCAGAGCTCCCTGGTGGACGTGTGAGCTGCACAACTTGCAAAACGACGTGACTCCATTTAAGGAACAAAGTAGAATCCAGCTGCTGTTGTTTATTTGTTGTTGTTGTTTATAGAAACTAAAAATATCTGCGGGGCTTTAGGCCCAGGGCAGAGTTTTACACCTCAGACCAAACATTCTTCTACAATCTGCTCTTTAACTGTATTATTTCCTGCTATTTCAGCTGTTAACTTTATTTTCTCTCTAAGTGTTTTTCTCCCCAGAAGAAGCTACAACGACGTTCTGCTGAGCTGTGGTGGCCTCATGGAGGGGGCCATCGTCAAGCACACTGCTGCTAACCACTTAAACATTCTCCCTCTCCTGATAATAACTTTTTACTCTCTTTGACGTTGGATGTGCAACTACTAGTTTACCCGTTTAATTATAGATCCACTAGGATAAATACTATAAAGTTTATCTCTCACCAAATAGAATATTTACTAAGAAATCACAATGTAACCATAGAAACACTACTTGGTGTGTGTGTGTGTGTGTGTGTGTGTGTGTGTGTGTGTGTGTGTGTGTGTGTGTGTGTGTGTGTGTGTGTGTGTGTGTGTGTGTGTGTGTGTGTGTGTGTGTGTGTGTGTGTGTGTCGGATGCATCTAGAGAGACAAAAGTCTAAAGTTATCTCTGACTGAAGGTGACCTGGCTCAGCGAGTCATGTCTGGAGTGAGAAGGACCTGTGCAGGTAGATGATGAGGAGACTCGCTGCTCGTGAGCAGAGGAACAGCTGATGAGGCTGGTTACTAGTGTGTTAACACAACAAAAGCAGGAGGACCATGGGGCTGGAGGCCTACGCAGGTTGGTGAAAGACTCACTCACCATTCACAAGCTCGCTCATCGATCCCTGGTGCCAGGAGCTCCTGACCAGTTATTCAAGTCCGTTTCCAGGTCAACTCCTCGAGGCCCCAGCTTCTCCACTTCTCTTCTTCTTCCCGTTCCAGTCACTCATCACTCCGTCACTAGCCGTTGCTACTCAGCGGCTAGCTCCCTCCGTCCCTCCTCCCACTCAGCTCCCACTCCCTGCTCCTCTCTGCCGACCCAGCCTCACAACCCCGAAGCCCCGCTAGCGGCCTGAGCCCCGGAACACGGAGACCTGGCTCCAGACAACAACATGGCGTGTTCTTCACCGTTTTTTTAAACAATCTTTATTGGCACATTTGCAGCAGACAAGACAAAACAACATCGATGTACAGGGTGTGATACATTGGCAAACAGAGAAGAAAGAGAAAAAAATGTTAATAAAAATAAACATAAATAATTATACTCAAATACAATAAAATAAAATTCCACTAATACATTACCATGTCACATGGGGCATAATAGAATTGATCAAGTTGCATATTTTCACAGCTTTCTTGTTTTTACTAATTCTACGTACAGTCTCGTGAAAAAAATCAAGATCAATATAAAATAAAGTTACATTTGGTATAGCCTGTAGAAATCTGACTTTATGAATGTGAAATTTACCCAACAGACACAGCAATTTTATCACATCGTTAACTTCTTTGTTACATTTAACGTTTAACAATAAGACCATGCTTTCATTAAAAGTAATCAATATTTTATGAGAATCCCAAACTAATGAAGACAATTGATTCCAAATCCGTACAACTAAAGGACAACCACAGAACACACGAGTAAGAGACTCAACACCTGTTTTGCAAAAGGAACATAAAGGGGACACAACAGGTCTAAATCTATTAATAAATTCATTACACGGATAATATCTATGTAAGATTTTCAAGTGTATTTGTTTAACTTTATTGGGGACAAAAAAATTCTGAACCTCAGAAAAGGCATTGGTACTGATGTCAGGAAACATTACCCTCCAACGATGTAATGAGTTTGGAGCCTGACTCTCTACAGTAGAGAGGTGAAAACTGCTCTAATGTGAGCATTGTTACATGAGCGCTCTTCAAGAAGCTTTCCACCGAGACACAGTGCAGGAATCCTTCCTGTGTAAGGTGTATACTGACCAGGAGCTCTGACAAGAGACAGTAAATGAACAGGAATACTTCGGAGAATACTAGAGTACATAGCGAGAGATGTGTTTAACCCCTTTCGTTGAATGAATTCATCATAGGTAGCTAGGTCCCCGCTATCATTCAAAAGATCAAACACAAACATAACACCGTGATCATACCAGTCTTTGTAAAACAGTCTTGTTCTTGTGAGAAATATGTTGATTGTTCCATAAAGTGTGTGTGTGAGGGGAAAAGTTGTGTTTGAAAGCCATTTTCCAAGTGTCCAGGGCTTGTTGGTGAAAGTTGGCCAGTTTAACGGGCAGTTTACCGGAGGTAAAGTAGCATGAAAGCAAGAACTTTAAGCCGCCACCTTTGTTAAACAAAAAATCAGGAATAAAAAACCATGGTTCATTATTATGTGAAAGACAATGTTTTAACCAATTAATTTTGAATATATTGTTGATAGTTTGGAAATCCAATACATTAAGACCCCCCTCTGAAATCTGTCTAATAAGTGTTTTCCTCTTTACGTATTCATTTTTATGTTTCCAAATAAACTTAGATAAGAGTGAATCAATAGCTGCACAGGTTTTGCCATCAACATGTAAAGATAAAGCTGGGTATACTAACCTGGATAATCCTTCAGCCTTGGAGAGTAAACACGACCTGTAATGGTAAGATCCCTCTGTAGCCAGCAGTTAAAGACAGATTTAGCTTTGTCGATTTTTGGGTTGAAGTTTTTTAAAATTCTTTCACTAGAGGATTTGCTTAATGTGATACCCAAATATTTAACTTCTTTTTTTACCTCTATGCCATCTATTGATACAGTGTCTAAATCACGTATGGCTAATATTTCACATTTTCTCTTATTAACCGTGAGACCAGAAGCATCCGAGAACCTGTTTAAAGCTTTAACAATAACAGGGACTTGAAGATCATTTTGAAGAAAAAGGCAGGTATCATCGGCCAGCTGACTGATGGTTAGAACATCTTGACCTATTTTAATACCTTTTACATTCACACAGTTAACAATGTAAAGATTAAGAAGTTCAGCAGCTATCAAGAATAAGAAAGGGGAAATAGGACACCCTTGTCTTATTCCACACGTCACATCAAAGCGAGGAGAGGTACCATGTGCCAGGGATACACAGCTGTTAATATTAGTGTAAAGAGTGATTATTATGTTCCTGAAGTTTTCTTTGAACCCAAAATAATGTAAAGCCTCAAAAATAAATGAGTGCTCCGCAGTATCAAAAGCTTTGTAGAAGTCCAAAAACAAAATCAATGTCTTTTCATCAAACAAACGTCCATAATCTAAAATATCTAGAACAAGCCTGATATTGTTAGAGATGTGTCGACCTTTCATAAAGCCTGACTGCGTTACAGAGATAATTTCTTCCGAGCAAAATTTTAATCTATTTGCGTATAGTGATGCAAGTATTTTATAGTCTGAATTTAGTAACGTTATAGGACGCCAATTATCCAAATAATGAAGATCTTTATCAGGTTTGGGAATTAAGGATATTACACCTTGCTTCATAGAGACAGTCAGTTCCATAGTTTTGGCACAATCCATGAAGGCTTCTAACAACATATATTTTAAGTCATCCCAAAAGGTTTGGTAAAATTCATAAGGCAACCCATCAGGGCCTGGACCTGGTTGCAGGTTCGAGTCCCGCTCAGTCTGTCGCTGTCGTTGTGTCCTTGGGCAAGACACTTAACCCACGTTGCCTGCTGGTGGTGGTCGGAGGGACCGGTGGCGCCAGTGCTCGGCAGCCTCACCTCTGTCAGTGCGCCCCAGGGCAGCTGTGGCTACATTGTAGCTCATCCCCGCCAGCGTGTGAATGTGTGTGTGAATGGATGAATGACTTATTGTGTTGTAAAGCTCCTTGGGGGGGTTCAAGGACTCTAGAAGGCGCTATATCAAATACAGACCATTTACCATTTATTAGATGGCATTTTTGTAATAGTCTTCTTCAGTTCATCAAGCGTGATTGGATTTTCACAAAGCTCACAATTCTCCCGGGAGATTTTAGGAATGAATGGGGAGACACAATCAAAAAAATCCTGAGAGGCTTGAGGCACAAACAAGGATGAGTACAGCTTCTGATAAAAGTTAGAGATCAAGGAAGAAATTTCGTTTTCATCTTTTGAGAGATTGTCATTAATAAATAAAGTAGATATTTTTCTTGCCTCTCCACGTTTTTTCTCCAGATTAAAAAAGAAGGATGAGTTTTTTTCTCCGTGTTCCAACCATCTAGCCCGAGACCTTATAAAAGCTCCCCTCGCCTTTTTCTGGATATAAAGGTCTAATTTTCCCCTTAATGAGTGCAAAAGCACTTTATCTTCCTTACTGAGAACAGGTATACTTAAAATTTCATTAAACTCTTTTAAATAATTAGTATAAGCTTTATTCTGATCTCTTATTTGTTGCTTTCCAAAGCGCATTGAGAAGCACTGACATTCAAGTTTGAAAAGCCCCCATTTTAGGGTAGGTGTAATTTCAGACATTGAATTGAATTTAGTAGCAATTTTTTTAATGCCCAAGCAGTAATCATTTTTTTGTAGCAAGGAAGAGTTTAATTTCCAATATCCAGGTTTGCTACAATTAGTGGATCTTAAACTTGATATAGATATATCTATCCCAGCATGATCAGTTAAGGGAGCAATAGCAATATTGCAACTTCGAACCCAGGGAGCTAAATTATCAGAGATTAGCCACAAATCTATACGCGATTTTTGAGATAGGTCGGTTTTAAACCAAGTAAAGTGGTTGTTTTCCAAAGGGTGTAAAATTCTCAGGGCATCTAGTAAGGAAAGTTTACCACAGAAATCATAAATAACAGGGTTAAAATGATCTGGACTACCTTTTGCAGGAAATCTAGCTGAAAATAAATTTGGAGCTTCGTTAAAATCACCGCCAACAACCACAAATGCTGAAGGAAATTTGTTCAATTCCATGAGGATTTTATCAGATAAAGAGTTGAGGAGCGTGATGTTAGAAACCCTAGAATTAAAGCCATAAACATTTACTAAAATAAAAAAATTATCTCCACATCTAAAGACCAACAGAATCCATCTGCCGTCTTCTGAAACCTCGGTGTATATGACTTCACCATTAAATTTAGGATGAAATAAAATTAAAACACCCCCCTGAAAAATTAGTACCATGAGAAAAAAATCCCCCCCCCCCCCCCCCCCCCCATTGATTACACCAAAATGTAACATCTTTTGAAGAGGAATGAGTCTCCTGTAAAAAATAGACATCCTTATTTTGCTGCATACAAAATAAAAATAAAGCTTTTCTTTTGGTTAGATCTCGAACACCCCGTACATTTAGAGAAAAACACGACAAACGAAAATCAGACATATAGAACACAGAAGAACAAAACTACTTGAACAGTAGTTGTATTAAGTTATGCGAAAAGTTGAGAAATGTGCAAAACTTGAACTCACAAGCCAAAACCTAACACTGAGTGATCAAAACTGGAACAGACCCATGTAAACTATAAAGCAGGATCATACTACAAATTCAAAAACCCATAGTAGGTATGTAACTATTTTTAAATAGCATACATTTCTCCCTCTCTCCCTTTTAAAATTTTATTTTTATTTTTTTAATTAATTTTTTTATTAATATTATTATCTCTCAAAACTCAAGACTTGCAACCAGTCAGTATAAACAGGTGCCAAACAAAACACATTCGTTGTTTCTTTCATTTTGTCTACTTAGATGAAGATGAGGCCAGAGGAATAGAACATCCGAAGCTTATTGCTTGGTTGACAAACTTCAACATTAAACACTGTTCATCCAAAGATGAGAATATCTGTTTAGGGGGAAAACTTTATGGCAAGTCCTCAGCAGAGAACTTCTTACCAGCAATGATGGCAAACAGACCGCTGAAGCCTGCTCTCTTGTTTTGCCGTCTCGCCTCGTCCACCATCGGCCACAGTTTCGCTCTTGCATCCCTCACCTGCTGGGTTAGGTCCTCCGATATCTTGATGTTTTTCTGCTTGAGGACCTGAGAAGTTTTAGCATCCGCCCAGACCTGATCACGGTGAGCCCGGAGCGAGAACCGGACTAGGATGCGGCGCGGGGGGCATTGATCTTCCTGCTTTGGACGCGGACCCGGCCTGTGAGCAACGTCCACGGTCT